TATCCACGTCTGTTTTGTTAGTAGATTTGAAGTTGAGATGTTGTGGGCATATTTCCACGTAAAGGAATATAGGAACACCACCAGTGACAGTGGCTGCCTGGCATTCCACAGTACCAAGGGAGTATCGCTTATTTAGCCAGTTGTCTACAAAATTGCTGCAGGGCACATCCAGATAATTAAGTCTGTGAATTTTTCCAAGGGATAGTTTTCTGGAGGGAATGGCTGGGTCCTCAGCTCCAGGGCCTGTGCACTCACCACTAGCTATTCTTCAAAGAACGTGGAGACACTTAGGGGTGGGGGGCAGGCAGGAATTTGTGGGGGTGGGTGACTGTTTAAGAAATCAATCTTGGGCCAGGCGTAGTGACAGCACTTTGGGAGGCTGAGGCGGGAGGATCACTTAAGCCCAGGAGTTCAAGACCAGCCAGGGCAAGACTGGGAAACCCCGTCTCTATGAAAAATTAAAAAGTTAGCTAGGCATGGTGGTGTGCACCTGTAGGCCCAGCTAAGGAGGCTGAGACAGGAGGACTGCTTGAGCCCAGGAGATTGAGGTTTCAGTGAGCTGTGATCTCACCACTGAACTCTATCTTACGTACAGTAAGACCCTGTCTCAGAAAGAAAGAACGAGAGGGAAGGACGGAAGGAAGGGAGGGAAGGAAGAAGGGAGGAAAATTCCTAGGGACGGGCACGGTGGCTCACACCTGTAATCCCAGCACTTTGGGAGGCCAAGGTGGGTGGATCACCTGAGGCCAGAAGTTCAAGATCAGCCTGGCCAACATGGTGAAACCCCATCTCTACTAAAAATAGAAAAATTAGCCGGGCATAGTGGCAGGTGCCTGCAGTCCGAGCTATTCTGGAGGCTGAGGCAGGAGAATTGCTTTAACCCGGGAGGCAGAGGTTGCAGTGAGCTAAGATCGCATCACTGCACTCCAGCCTAAGCAACAGAGCAAGACTCCATCTCAAAAAAAAAAGAAAAAGAAAAATGAAATCCTGGAAGAAGACCTGTTCCCGGGACCCAGTGTTGCAACTGACGCTTGCCCCAAACAAGCAGCCCGAAGAGTCGCTGTCCCTGGAGAGGCCAGGGCAGAGGTTTCCTTGCCAGGGCCCTGAGGGTGCAGGGGAAGGTCAGTCCTGCAGCCTCCATCACGCCTTCTCCACCCCCACCCAGCCCAGGCCTCCTGGGAGTCAGAGGAAGTTGCTGACCTGTCCCCTTGGGGAATAATTGTATTAGTGATAAGGTGGCCTCTGGCAGCTTAGTCAGCAGATTCAGGGCTTTGGGCTGAGTAATCCTTTGGCGTCTGCCCCAGCAGCTGGTGATCACAGATCAGGGAGACCGCCCCCCCACCCCAGCCCCCAGGCCCCGCTGGGCTTTGGCTTCCTTTCCCCTGGCACGGTGCATAGGGCACAGCTCTGGCCGGCCTGACCTGCTGAAGAACCCAGGGCCAGGCTCAGAGAGGACTTCAGCTGGCATCCAAGTGATGGAGTGACAGAATACAGTCAAAATAAACAGCGTGAAAATAGGCAGGTCAAACACGGCAGGGGGGATTTAGATGGGATTGGGTTTCTTGTGTGGCTTTGCTTTGTTTTGTTTTTGCCATTTTAGGTAATACATTCCCACTATAGAATATAGGAAGATACAGACAAGTTTGAAAACAGATTCTCTGTCCATGAAGCACCGTGGGATCCTCCTGCCCAGCTAACCCGAAACTCTAAGCCTGTTCCCTGGAATCTGCCATCTGGATGGAGGAGAGAAAGTTGACCTGGAGTGAGGTGCAACATAAGGATAAGATATGCATCCGGACCAGCTATCCCTTGGAGAGCACAGGTGGCCTGAGGAGTCAGGGCAGGCAGCCTGGAGGAGGTGAGTCCGGGACAGGCCTTCAGGGATGGTCAAGGACTGGGCAGATGGGGCAGGAGGGGCAAAGCCAGCACTGCTCAGCCGCTCCCCTGCGCCTGCTGCCCTTGAAAGAAGGAAGCGCTGGCCTCCAACACCTTTGGCCCCGCCTCCTCCCTTCCATCTGCCCTTGTCCCTTCAGTTCATCTCCTTTAATCCCACCACAACTGCCCACTGGGACACCATCCTCCCCATTTCAGAGAGCATGAAACTCAGAGGCAGAGTAACTTGCCCAAGCCCACACAGCCAGGCTCTAAAGGCGGAGTGCTGGACCAAGCCTGCCCTGAAGCCCAGGCTCCCCGCAGGCTGCCCCTCCTCTCCTGCTGGCTGCTGCCAGCTCAGTCCTGCAGGTGTCTCTCCGGAGATGCTGGACAAGGAGCAGGGTTGGAGGTACACCCGACTCCACCTCTATTCCAGGTTCTTTCTCCTCTGTAGCTCCCATTTTAAAAGAAACTGCGTTCCAAAAATATTTTTCTTTATCTCAATTCGTGGGAGGAAAAAAAAAAATCCTTCGTTAATGTTACCCTCCCTGCCACGCCTCAGCCCTGTCTTCTTCCCTCACAGCCACGCTCCCTCTCCAGAATCATCCTCCCTCCCGGGCACCAGCTCCTCCTGCTGCTGAAACCAAAGTGGGCAGCTGCCCCTTCTGGGAGGGTGTCTTGGTGCAAAGCTGAACGTGGGACCAGGCGCAGTTCGAAATCCTCATCTCCATCCCCAAACTCCTCCACCACTCAGTAGCTGTGTGGCCTGAAGCAAATTACTTAACCTCTCTGACTTCGTTTCTCCTCACCTGTGAGTTGAGGCTAGTAAGGTCAGCTCCAGTGTGCATTACAGGGCTGCTGTGGGGTCTGAAGGATCTGTGTAAGAACTCTGCATGCGTGCTTTCTGAATGACAAGGAACACCTGCATGATGACGCCACCATCGCTGATTCCTCCCGGTCCCTGGCTACCGCCACAATGTAGCGCTGTGCTGAGTTTCCATCTCAGAGGAACCTCACCTTTTTTTTTTTTTTTTTTTGAGTTTTACTCTTGTTGTCCAGGCTAGAGTGCAATGGCGTGATCTCGACTCACTGCAACCTCTGCCTCCTGGGTTCAAGTGATTCTCCTGCCTCAGTCTCCCGAGTAGCTGGGATTACAGGCGTGTGCCATCACACCTGGCTAATTTTGTATTTGTCCCTGATGTGCCTTTGTCATCAGTTTGTCCTTGGCTCTGGCCAACAGAGTCTGAGATCCTTGGTCTCAGCCTTACGCATTTTCACACCTGCATGCATTTGCTCCAGGCGACCCCCCAAACTGCGGGTGGGTTGGTCTAGGGCAGGTGGAGCTGGACTCCACAGCGGAACTCCGGCGGGCCTACTGGGGGAAGCTGCGGCAGTGGCGCAGGCAGGAGCCTGATGTGAAGTGGCCGCGGAGGAGGCCGTGAGTGTGTGCGAGGCTGTCCGAGGAGAGGGTGGGAAGGGCTGCTGGGACCGGCCTCTGGTACGTGTAGGCCACGACAAGTTCAAGGCAGAGACCCGTGCTCCAGAAGAGACGGGAAAGAGCAGCTTCTGGAAGGAGGGAGTGGCCAGCCAAGTTCACAGAGGATGCCCTGGGTTCCGTCTTAGGTGGAGCTGGAGACCTTGTCCTGAGGGGCTTTTTGGCAGAGGAGGCAGGAAGGGGTGAGGAACGAGGAGAGGAGGGCAGGTGAGAGCACCCAGCCCGGTGGCCTCGATCTTCTGAGGCCCCAGAAAGCAGATTACCCGCAAAGCCCCTCGAGCTGACTTCCCAAATCCCCAATAGTGCTGCTCTGTCACAGGGAGGGTTAACCCCACTTACATAAGGGCCAGGCCCCGCCCCTGTCCCCGTAACTGCATGATCCTTCTAGAAGTTTCATGCTCTCCCCCCTTCCCCCTGGGATCTGAGGCTGGACCACCTCCCCACCCCAGCTCACCCAGAGATGAGCTCAGGTCTGCTGGGGACAAGCAGTCCCCTCCGGGACAACATAGGCTTTCAGCTCTGTCCTGAGCAGGGAGGGGGCTAGCAAGTGGGGCTGAGGGTGGAGGAGCAGGCAAGAAAATACTGCTGAGTGTGACCGTCTCAATAACCACAAGAAGAATAACAATATCAACCGCATGCACCATTTATTACGTTCTCACTGAGTACCAGGCACTGAAACACGTTTCTGGAACCATTGTCTTTAGTTTCCCAGATATCCCACAGGACAGGTGCTTTCCTTATCCTGTTTTACAGGCGAGGAACTGAAATTCAGTCACTTTCTTGGGGACACTTGGCTGGCCAATGATGGAGAAGGGACTTGAACTGGGTATGTCTCTCTGCTCTCTCCACTCTCCCTGTGGGGCCCTGGGGCTTGCTCCAAGGATGGGGCCTCGGGCCTCTGACCTCCAGGCCAGCCTCAGACCCTACGGGACCGGTTCTGGAAGCATACTCTGTGCCATTTGGGGACTGCTAGCCTTCCAGGGGGACTGGATCCTCAAATCTTGAGCCCCAAACAGTCCCTTTCCAAAGCATTGGAGTGAGAACTTGGGGGGCAGAGCCAGATCTGTCTAGGACCCAAAGGGAGCACCTCAGTAGGACCCGAACAGCCACAGGTACACACACAGCCCACACACTCACATTTGGAGGTGTGCCAAGCAGCTCAAAAAGATCTGAAGTCCAGCGCAGCTCAGTGACTCACGCCTGTAATACAAGCACTTTGGGAGACGGAGGTGGGCAGATCACTGGGGTCAGGAGTTCCAGACCAGCCTGGCCAACTTGGCGAAACCCTATCTCTACTAAAAAATTAGTCTGGCTGGTGGCAGGCCCAGCTACTCAGGAGGGTGAGGCAGAAGAATTGCTTGAACCTGGGAGGCGGAGGTTGCAGTGAGCGAGGATCAAACCACTGCACTCCAGCCTGGGCCACAGAGCGAAACTCTGTCTCAAAAAAAAAAAAAAAAAAAAAA